ATGTTGCTATTGCTTTCTTCATGACTTATACATGTTCCTATGACTATGAGATTATGCAACTCCCGTTTACCGGAGGAACACTTTGTGTGCTACCAAACGTCACAACGTAACTGGGTGATTATAAAGGAGCTCTACAGGTGTCTCCGAAGGTACATGTTGGGTTGGCGTATTTCGAGATTAGGATTTATCACTCCGATTGTCGGAGAGGTATCTCTGGGCCCTCTCGGGAATGCACATCACTATAAGCCTTGCAAGCAATGTAGCTAATGAGTTAGTTACGGAATGATGCATTACGTAACGAGTAAAGAGACTTACCGGTAACGAGATTGAACTAGGTATTGGATACCGACGATCGAATCTCGGGCAAGTAACATACCGATGACAAAGGGAACAACGTATGTTGTTATGCGGTCTGACCGATAAAGATCTTCGTAGAATATGTGGGAGCCAATATGAGCATCGATGTTCCGCTATTGGTTATTGACCGGAGACATGTCTCGGTCATGTCTACATAGTTCTCGAACCCGTAGGGTCCGCACGCTTAAGGTTTCGATGACAGTTATATTATGAGTTTATGAGTTTTGATGTACCGAAGGAGTTCGGGGTCCCGGATGAGATCGGGGACATGACGAGGAGTCTTGAAATGGTCGAGACGTAAAGATCGATATATTGGACGACTATATTCGGAGTTCGGAAAGGTTCCGAGTGATTCGGATATTTTTCGGAGTACCGGAGAGTTACGAGAATCCGCCGGGGAGTATATGGGCCTTATTGGGCTTTAGGGGAAAGAGAGAGGAGAGGCTGGGCGCCCCCCCCCCCAAGGCCTAGTCCGAATTGGACTAGGGGGAGGGGCTGCGCCCCCTCCTTCCTTCTCTTCTCTTCTCTTCCCCCTTTCCTTGACTCCTACTCCTACTACTTGGAAGGGGGGAATCCTACTCCCGGTAGGAGTAGGACTCCTCCTTGGCGCGCCTCCTCCTAGGCTGGCCGCCCCCTCCCCCCTTGCTCCTTTATATACGGGGGCAGGGGGGCACCTCTAGGCATAACAACAATTGATCATTGATCTCTTAGCCGTATGCGGTGCCCCCCTCCACCATATAGTCCTCCTCGATAATATTGTAGCGGTGCTTAGGCGAAGCCCTACGACGGTAGAACATCAAGATCGCCACCACGCCATTGTGCTGGCGGAACTCTCCCTCGACACTCGGCTGGATCGGAGTTCGAGGGACGTCATCGAGCTGAACGTGTGCTAGAACTCGGAGGTGCCGTAGTTTCGATCCTTGATCGGTCGGGCCTGAAGACGTATGAGTACATCAACCGCGTTGTCATAACCGCTTCCGCTTTCGGTCTACGCGGGTACGTGGACACACTCTTCTCTCTCGTTGCTATGCATTACCATGATCTTGCGTGTGCGTAGGAAATTTTTTGAAATTACTATGTTCCCCAACAGATTTCCCCCTCCCGGAGGAAAGTTTCCCCGGTAGAACAGCTCCGCGAGAGCCCTAGATTGGTTCCGTCTCGTGGCGGCGGAGTTTCGTCCCGTAAGCTTGCTTATGATTTTTTTTCCAGGGTAAAAGCCTTCATATAGCAGAAGATGGGCACCGGAGGGCCACTAGGGGGCCCAGGAGACGGGGGGCGCCCAGTAGGGGGGCGCCCAGTAGGGGGGGCGCCCAGTAGGGGGGGCGTCCCGCACCCTCCTGGCCAGGGTGTGGGCCCCCTCTAGTACTTTCTTCGCTCAATAATTCTTATTAATTTCAGAAATGACTTTCGTGGAGTTTCAGGACATTTGGAGCTGTGCAGAATAGGTTTCCAATATTTGCTCCTTTTCCAGCCAGAATCCCAGCTGCCGGCATTCTCCCTCTTCATGATAAACCTTGTAAAATAAGAGAGAATAGCCATAAGTATTGTGACATAACGTGTAATAACAGCCCATAATGCAATAAATATCGATATAAAAGCATGATGCAAAATGGACGTATCAGCATGATTGGTACCGGGCACCATCCCCGGAAGATTAGCGACGATATCGCTAGACACCTTGAGCGGGGGGCACGATTGCTTCGCCTTTTCGCCGAGCTGGGTAATTTTTTTACCACTTCTTCATTCTGCTAACCTTGCATCACTGCAAGTACTTCTCGACCGCTCTGCTTTCTTATATGCCTTTTTAATATAGTGCGCACATAGTTGGAATCCGGCGGAGGCGGTGGTGGTCGCTTCAGGGCATCGATAGTCCGCTTCACTTTCACTGGATCTATCATTTCCTTCGGAGGTGGAGGTTTCCGTGCAAAACAGTCCCTCACTTGGGCACGACTGATGTCCTCGTTTTCCTTGTCGGTCCTCTCATATGGTAACTTTTCCGGAGCCTTGAGAGATGGACCGTATTTGAATCGCTTCCCTCCTTTGCTTATATCGGTTCGTGACATGAACCGGTACTAGAGGTTCAACATGAGTCGGTACTGATGATGCCCTCCCCCCTAGCCGTTGGAACCGGCACTAATGGTCACATTAGTGTCGGTTCGTTTACAAACCGGGACTAATGATCCAAACGTAAAGCCTGTTTTCTACTAGTGTTGGCGGTGACAGTGTCGCGGACGCGGAGGGGTGGAGCAGCGCGGAAGAGGCCGTCGCCTCTGTTGTTAGAGCTCTGGCGGTGACGGCTAAAGGAAGAGGCGATCCAAAGGAAGTGGGCGAGTAGAGGAGTGACCTAAACCAATGTCAATAGCCGGTTGGGCAACCACGATTTGAGCATGTAGGACTATAGCCGGCCAAACGACGGGGCCAACCAGACCGGCCCGCGAGCACGTCGGCACAGTCCGTTATGGGCCAGGCACGAGACGGACTAAGCGGGCCGTGCTCGGCACGCGGCACGCCTTGGGCCGTGCCTGGGCCTGGAGGCTGGGCACGCGGGCCAGCACGACATGACTCGTTTATTTTTTTCATACACACACGTGTGTGTAAAATACAACCCTATAGGCCTAAAAATCAGCCCAACAGGCTGAAAATGTGCAGCCCAACGTGCTAAACGGGCCGACTTGCTAAATGGACCGTGCCTGGGCCTGGAGGCGCAGCACGTGGGTCGACACGGCACGACCCGCTTACTAAACGTGCCTCTGTGGGCCGGGCCGTGCCTGGCACGATTAGCATGGCTGGGCCGTGACGGGCCGGCCCGTTTGGCCAGGTCTGTGTAGGACAATCGTTGGAGCCCAAACCTGATCACACCCAACTGTTAAAAAAATAGTGAAACGAAAAAAACCAATCTCAGATTTACTCTCGATCCCGCACACTGCTCGCTCCCATCTTTCCCCTCTCCCTCGTCTTCTCCTGTCAAGTCGTCGCCGCCGCCGTTAGCGCCGCCAGGCCCAGCTGCCCCCGTCGCCAGCCGGAATCTCTCCTCCGCCGACAGATCCGGTCGTCCCAGGCTGACTCCCGCCGGATCCCGTCCTCGGCGCCGCCGGTCGCGCGGGGTGGGAGGAGCCGCGACACCATGGCTTAGAGGAGCTAGGCCCGACGCCGTTGACGCCCATCCCGAGCCAGGAGAAGCACCAGGACGACCGCTCTTCTTCCCCGTCCCGAGCAAGGTGAGCTCCTCCCCTGCTCTTCTTCCCCATGGCTCATCTTGTTTCGTACTGTGAGTGCACATTGCATATTTTATTATTTTTTACTTAGGTCTGGCTCTGTGTGTGCAAATTGCTATATGTGTGCAATTTTATTTCGTAAGTTATTGCGGACTGATGTATGTATGGAAATGTACTACCATGAGTGCTTATGTGTGCGCATAGGGTCAGACCCTAGGTCGGACTGTCCAACCTGGCAGATTTCAGCAAGCTTTGCTTGCTTCTTGATGATGATCTCTTTCCCCTCTCATTCCCTTCTTCTCTTTGATTGATTCCTTCACACCTGAGAATTCCCAAAGTTCCGGAATGTGGTAGTAGCCATGTCTCACATGCAAGTATAGGGGGCTTATAGAGGGGCGAAGTCACCTCGGTTTCAATAGCATGCCCACTAGCTCTTGCCAACGGCCCACTTGGAGTTTACGGGGTTGATGCTGGGTTCATGGGGATCCATGGGATGCTCCGCACCACAATGGCTGCTACATCATGGACTCCTGTGTGCTCCCTAGCTTCTAGCTTTCTATTTTCCCGTTGTGTTCACCAAGTCCGTTGCTCTGTCATGTTTATCATGCCATGCGAGTCCATCAAACCTTTGTTGTCATGTCAACCTTCTTTCTTGTCCTGATCCTTTTGTGTACAATTTGGCCCTTTTGGTTATGATGGTCTTCTAGAGGATTTCAGTGACCTCCTTTTGCATTGTTGTTGATCTATGCCCATTCTCTTGTCGCTGAGCTTCTTTCGCCGCTGGTTGCTTGTGCTATGATTTTTGCGACATGCTTCTTCTATCCCACCTTGGCTTTACTCAACAGGTTTTTGAAGGCTCCATGCTACAACTGACACTATAGAGACACTGATTTTGGATTTCACTATTTGTTAGTGTTATATTCTTCAAATGCAAGGATTATTAATTGGTGGTCTAGGTTTCTTTATGTATTCGTATCAGTCTGGATTTCCTTGCTTGTAATCCCAAGTCCCTTGTAATATACTCCCTCCGTTCCTAAATGTAAGTCTTTTTTAGAGATTTTACTACAAACTACATACGGACGTATATAGACATACTTTAGAGTGTAGGTTCACTCATTTTGTTTCGTATGTAGTCCATAGTGAAATATCTAAAAAGACTTATATTTAGGAACGGAGGGAGTATATTACCCCTTGGGCTATGCAATAGAGATAAGTTGCTCATCCAACAATGCTAGCCTATTTCTATGTGTTAACCATACTATATGCTTTGATCCGTTGCAGATAAACATATAATCTTAATGGGGCATGATAATATCACTCATATAGAGGTAAGTTGGTCAGTCCCAAGTATTATATGTCTGTATAATCACTTTATGCTGACATTTCTTGTTGTTCTCACTTTTTTTTGGGTACAGAAGCTCACGGCGGATGGTTCCATTGCTGGTATGTTCTCTGCTACAGTTTTCTAGAAGCATGTGATTTTTCACGCATAATTCTTCATATCAAATAGAGAGAAGTGTGTTTATTTTTGCGTTTCTTCTTCTTGGGTATTGAATCCACATAGTCACTCGTTATGCAAGCTTCCATTTGTATGTACCTCTACATTTACTTTTTGTGATGAGTGTACATCTATATTTGACGTAGTCTTAAAATATACTTTTCTTGTGACCATCAGTACCCAATTATCACTTGACACTTGTCATCTACTCCCTCTGTTCCTAAATAGTATAAGACGTTTTGGCAGTTCAATTTAAACTGCCAAAATGTCTTATATTTAGAATCGGAGGTAGTAGTACTTACACACTGAGGATTCCAAATTGCATTATTTTTTGGTATGTCGTTCTTTATATGGATGTACCTTGTATTCCTTACGTGTTTCCTTTTTTGTAAAATAGACAGGAAATGTTGCCAGGAACCTGGCTGCGATGAGATTGTCAGTGGAAGGGTAATGTACTGCAGTAGTCACACTAGAGGGCATTCATCCCAACAGCTTGGTTACCTCCAGAGTTCACAGAAAACCTCAGATTTATACATGCCCCCTGTTAAAGGCAGACAGTGTACTGAACCCAGTGCCAGTGCAGAGCAAGACATAAATATCAAGTATGAGGGGAATGATCAAGGCAAACTCAATGATAGATCTGGGAATACTCAGGGAAACACTGGGCAACTAATCTTGGGTGGCCCTGACACGCTTTGCAAGCACGACAACTGCAAAAAGCAGGCCCAGAGTAACGCATTGTACTGCAAGCTACATAGTGGTGGTAGTAAGGGTTGCCTGGTACGGGACTGTGTGAAAGCTGCACATGGCGGCACGCCTCTATGCATCGGCCACGGAGGAGGGAAGCGTTGCGTTGTTGCTGGATGTCCAAACGCTGCATGTGGCCAGGGCCGCAGTGAGCACTGTGTGAGGCATGGTGGTGGCAAGAGATGCAAGTTTGAAGGGTGCGTGAAGGGTGCGCAAGGGAACACAGACTTCTGCATCAGGCATGGTGGGGGAAGGCGGTGCAAGTCCGAAGGATGCACAAAGAGCGCACAAGGACGCACGGATTTCTGCATCAAGCATGGCGGCGGCACCCGGTGCCAGTTCCAAGGATGCAACTCCAGCGCAAAATGGGGGACAGACCACTGCTCCGTGCATCGGAAGAGTTTGCTGGGCGAGACGCCTGAAGCCTTGCCGCTTCCTTCTGCCAAGCGTCGCGGGGCCAAGAAACCCAAAAAGGAAGTAAAGCCGCCGCCTCTGGCCTCCCAGCTGACTGTCACCACTGCTGGGAGCAGCGCACCACAAGCAAAGGGTATTCTTCACATGCCTTCAAACCGTGAACTGTCGCACAAGATCGTGATGGCGGCCGGGCAAGCCGCCATGGCTCCTGCCCAGGTGTTACCGCTGTCCATGAAACCTCCAGCACCGTCGCCGTCGGGGGCGGAGAAGGAAGCGGCGGCGACGAGCAGCACGACGCTGAATCTTTAGGAAACATCCATGGCGCAGGTGACCGCTTGCATTGTGTGCAGGCTGTCCATCTCTGATTACTGCTTCGGACCAAAAACATCCATGGGTTTAGGAGGCTTGTTGCTGCCATGGTGAAAGTTGTTGCTGCCGGCTTGACGTCGCCTTTTCTGTTTGGTCTCTCTTTGTCCGTCTAACATGTCAGATCTCTCTATAATCTGTAATGGCGTGTGGTTGGTGCGTCGTTGTGTGGGGAACTGCTCGTCGGACTATATGAGGTTGTGGACGATTGGCTAGAAAAGAAATATCTGCATCCTGTCATTCTTTCTCCGTGCTTCACTGTCGTTGCCGAGTGCTGACCGTGTGAGAATGACAAGACCGTCCCCAACCGGACTGGGCTACCTCGTCCACGGACATGTCTGGACAGTGCATGGCCATGCCCATGTCTGCTTTTGACTCTCATTTGTCTGTGCATGTAGTCGTGTTCTCCAAATTGTCCGGTCATATGTTCTCCGAATTATCCGGTCACGTGCATATAATTACTATGGCATCCAAATTGTCTGTTCACATGTTCATGCATATAATTTTTTTTAGGCAAAAGATTTACCCCGTCGATTAATTAAGAAGAGAATTGCCCGGTTAATTAATGAAAAACAGGGTGAAAACCGATACATATAGATCACATGCGGACTACTCGCTAAGAAAGAAACTCCACGACCCCATGATCAACCTGGCAAACATACATAAAGCACAACAACCATGATCTCTCGCACTTCTAAGTTGCAATGAAACCCCAAAATAAACCAAGGTTGAATACAACAGACACCACCAAATCCACGGAGACGAGCCAATCCAAGATGGTAGTCGAAGAGACTGAGTATCATCCATCAAGCAGCTGCGAACGCCTTAACAAAGGCGCCACTCTTCTTGCCTATGCTCCTACGAGCCTTCTTCGCCTTCTTGATTCATGCATATAATTACTATGCCAAAAAAAAGAAGATAAAGTGCTACTTCACCGTTTTGTGTGTCCTCTTGCTAGGTACCTGCGGCATGTAGCCTTCTCATCATTGCACGCGTGATAATTGAGGGGATTGAGTTATCCTAACAGCGTGTTTGGTTGGAGGGAGTTTGGGGGCAGGGAATGGGAGTTTTGGGTGATAGAAATCCAATCCCTATTGTTTTGGGTGAAGAAGCGGTTAAGTGGCACATTGTGCTAAGTGCTCGAACCGTTGGCTGATCTCAGTTGTATTGCCTCATACAAACTTGTTAAGCGAGAACACAAATGACTACATAGGAGCTCTATGGTGGATCACATTTAGATCCGTTTTTACCATTAGGTTTTCCATGATGAGCTGATTTTTTCAAAATCAACTTCGATGATAGACGAGGCAACTTTATTGCTAAACATAAGCAAATTTTTTGAATCATGTGTACTAGTGAATTCACCTAGCAAGTATATTGTAGAAAGCTTAGAAATGATGGCACACAACTTTCATCATATGTAGGCAACTGAGTATCATAGGTAGGCAACTTTGAAATTACACGGAGGCACCTTTCAACACTAAGGCGTTGTTTGGATACGATTGTTATACCAAACCAGTTCCGCTAATCCTGTTTAGGCATCTAACCGTCCAAAACCATGTTTGGTTAGTCTAACTAATCCATGGATAAGAAAAACTTGGTTTCCCAAAAACCGGAAAAACGAGTATTTGGAAAAACGACTATTAGTCCTTTTCCCATAAACCAGTTTAGCTTATCCTTCGTTTCGATCGCAAAGGGCTTCCATGAGACGCCGGTGGGCAGCGTCCAATACGTCCATTATGGCAAGATCAATCGTTCCAGGTGCCGTGGTTCCTTCTTCAGCTGTTGCTTTATTTATAAAGTGGGGCGAAAGATCAGTCTGTCAATTATGTATTCAAGGGCATCAAAACTTCAAACTATCCCTTTGGAATCCGTGCGGGTCGAAGTACCCTGCATTTGCTTGTGTTCATGGTTAACTAATACAATATATATGTATTGCTTTTTGGCGAATAAAAGTGTTGCGGGTTGATTTGTTTTTTGTGGGGAGTGTATTGCTTGTTCTTATTCAAATTAACTTCTTGGATGTGATGCAGAGCTGAAATTCTGAATTAAGGGTGTGGCTAGATCTTAGCCGATTGAGATTTAACTGAATCTTGATCAACTATAGAACATATAAAAAGATAAAAAAAAACTTTACACATATCTTCATGTAAAATGTCAGGAATCATCATCCATTCAATCTTTACACACGAATCAACTCTTGTCAAAATTTACACGAGATATTACTGTCACAGCTAGCTACTGTAGTATGGATTCAGTTATCTACACAAGCTTCAGTTATCTACCGTGCCGGAGCGAATCTCCCGGGCGGCGCCGGCGCCGGCGATGGCGTCGAGCCGCTCGACGAGCTGCTGCGCCGTGGGCCTCGCCTTGGGGTCCTCGCTGACGCAGGCGCACGCCAGATCCAGCACCCTCGCCGCCTCCTCCCGGTGCCGCCCCGGCACGGCGGCGTCCACGGCCTCGCGGCCCCGCCCCTCCCGCCGGAGCCGCACCGCCCACGCCGTCACGTCCCGCGCGCCGAGCCGCGCCGCCATGTCCACGGGCCGCCGCCCCGTCACCAGCTCCACCAGCACCACCCCCATGCTGTACACGTCGCCCCGGTACGTCGCCGCCGGCGAGTGCCCGTACTCCGGCGGGATGTACCCCAGCGTGCCCACCAGGTCCGTCGTCACGTGCGTGTCGTCGCTCCCGCGCGCCAGCCGCGCCAGCCCGAAGTCCCCCAGCCGCGCCTCCATGGCCGCGTCCAGCAGGATGTTGCTCGACTTCACATCCCGGTGCATCACCCGCGCGCCGCCGCCTCCGCCGTGCAGGTGCGCCAGCCCGCGCGCCGCGCCCAGGGCGATCCGCAGCCGCGCCGGCCATGGCAGGGCGTCGCCGGCGTCCGCGCGCTCGTGGAGCCAGTGGTCCAGGCTGCCGTTCTCCATGTACGGGTAGATGAGGAGGCGGACGTCCTTGCCGAGGCGGCAGTAGCCGCGCAGGGCGACGAGGTTGCGGTGGCGCACGCGGGAGAGCGCCTCCACCTCCGCCCGGAACTCGCGCTCCATCTGGTGGAAGTCGCCGGAGAGGCGCTTCACGGCGACGTCGCGCCCTTCCGCCAGCGTCGCGCGGTACACCATGCCGAACCCGCCGCACCCGACGATGCGGGACTCGTCGAAGTCGCCCGTCGCCTTCACCACCTGGTCAAGCGTAATCACCGTCGTCTCCTCCTCTTCTTCGTCGCAGGGGAAGAGGAGCACCAGCGTCGACGACCTCGCCGCGGACGAATCGGTGCTTTCCTCGTCGTCGCCGGCGGCCACCCTGCAGGCGTTGTCCTCCTGCCGCCGCCTCGACCACGCCCGCCACGTCGCGCCAAGGCCCACGGCGACCAGCAGCGCCGTGCCGACGCATATGGCCGCCACGACGCCGGCACTAGCGGCGCTCTTCCGGCCGTCATTGGTCCCGGTCGTGCCGTCCGTGGCCTGATCATCCCCCTTCCGGTCGCACTTCCGTCCCACGTGGAAACCGCACAGGAACGGGTTCTCGGCGAAGTCGGCGCTCGAGAAGGTGAAGAACTGGCCGCCGATGGGGATCTCGCCGGAGAGGTTGTTGTCCGCGACGGAGAAGTGGGAGAGGAAGCTGAGCCGCGTCAGAGACGCCGGGATGGCGCCGGAGAGCGCGTTGCGCGACACGTCGAGGGACTCGAGGCTCGTCATTTCCGACAGCTCCGGCGGGATGGGCCCCGAGAAGCCGTTCCAGCTAAGGTCGACGATGTGCAATCTGGCCAGCGCTCCCAGAGCCGCCGGCACGCCACCGGTGAGGTTGTTCCGCGCCAGCACGAGCGACGCCGGGAAGCTGCTCACCTGGTTATACTGCCGTCCTTTCGCCGACACGTTCCGGCGCATAAAGAACGGGAAGTCCTGCACCTTCTCGTCGTCGTCGTCACGGCCATTGCCGCTGCCGGCCAGCAGCGCCGGCATCCGCGTCAGGCTGGCCGGGATCTCCCCCTGCAGCGAGTTGTTCGATATGTCGAGGTAGAAGAGGCGGTCGAGCTCGCCGAGCAGTGGCGGGATCGGGCCGGCGAGCCGGTTCCACGAGATGTCGAGCACCTTGAGCCTCCGGAGCCCAGCGAGCCACGCCGGGATCGCGCCGGTGAGCTCGCAGTTGGCAATGACGAGCACCTCGATCTTGGCGAACCCGTCGATGCCGTCCTCTGGCATCGCCTCGCCGCCGCGGAAGTTCTTGGTGAGCACGAGGCTCGTCAGGTTGGGCAAGCGCTGCAGTATCCTCAACGCCGACGTGACGTTGGAGAAGCCGTTGCCGGTGAGGGACAGGAAGGAGAGCGACGGGAACGTGGAGAACGACGGCGGTATCTCGCCGGTGAGGAGGTTTCGGCCGAGGTTGAGCGCCGTCATGCCGGCGCACTCGGGGAGGCTCGCCGGGATGAGGCCCGTGAACTTGTTGACGCCCAGGTCGAGGTAGACGAGGCTATTGACGGCGCGGAAGTCCAGGCCGATGGCGCCGGTGAGCGTGTTGTTGCGGAGGTTGAGGACGCGAAGGTTCACGCACAGCGAGAGCGTGGCGGGAAGGCCACCGGTGAGCACGTTGCTCGGCGCCGAGAGCTCCTGGAGCGTGCCGGCCAGCGCGTCGAACACCTCGGGCAGCGCACCAGAGAATGCGTTGAAGGAGAGGTCGAGGCGGACGAGGCCGGTGAGGTTGCGGAGCCCCAACGGGATCTCGCCGGAGATGGAGTTGGTGTGGAGGGAGAGGTACCGCAGCGACGTGGCGGCAAAGAGGTCATCTGGGAGGGCGCCGGTGATGCCGTTCCCGTCGAGCGAGAGCTCAAGAAGCGACCGGCATTGGCCGAACCCGACAGGGAAGTCACCGGAGAGCCTGTTCATGGACAGCCGCAGGACCCGCAGCCCCGGCGAGGACGCGCAGACCGCCGCGGCGTCCAGGGGTCCCTC